CGTGTAGGGTTTGTAAACCCTGTTAGAAAGAACATGTGAACATGAACAGTACCACCAGCAATAGCGGATTCAGACTCAACTTACAGATATATGTCACAATACAACACCTGTGAGAAAACATTTTAGGTCAGGGGATTTTGTCTTATGTGCCGACCAGGAGTGTTGGGAGTCAGCTTTTCAAAGTTTTGACTTATGTTTCAAATGTCTGGAAGTTACGTTGATTATGTCAAATATTTTCAGTTATTTTAAATCTAAAGTATTTCTTCATGAAGTTATCAAACTACCTAAGAAATTATAAAGAAAATATTGTGACAAGTAGAAGCAGATGTATTCTGAGTCAAGAAACATTGAAGAAATCTTGCTGAACCACAGGGCGATCCCGGGTTCAGCAAACGAACGTTCTGCGTTAAATAAACTAGATTAAGCAGTCATTACTCATTTCATAAAATTAAAGACATCACAGATAGCTGTCTAAGTTTACAGAAGTTTTAAACCCCGTTTGATAGCATTTCTTTTTCTTTGGGGATAGACTGTGGCAGCTTTTGAACTATGCATCTACTCGTTTCCAAAACGGTAGGCGATGTGATGGGTGTCAACGGGAACGTATTGATATTGCAACAAAATCGTAAAGCCGGGAGGACGGGGTGAAGGGAGAGTGAATTAAGCTTTTTGTGCAGCTTGGAACGGTTCTATAATTGTTTTATAAATCAAACAGTGCAACAGAGAGCACCCACTAACATCTTTCAGCACTGTAAGCCTGTCCCTTCTCCACCTGCCCCTCAGGTCTCCCAAACAGTAAGGATGAGAAGAGGACTCTGTAAAAATGCACACAGACTCCGATATAGGCAGGAGAGCAGGAAACTTTCAAAAAGGAAGACAGTGTGAACACAGGAAATTCTTACGAAGAGGGCAAGAAGGGTATCAGGAAGATGTATACAATGCCCTTTGTGAGGGGAAGAGGGGAGTAGTCCTGGTGCAGAGGAGAAGACCAGCCTCTGAGGGGATACGGGGACTGGAGGATGTTGCTTTGCAGTGGGACAGGACATCAGGGGCATCGTTAGGATTGCATGCTGCTAGTCATGGGAAGAGGATGGGGAACAGAGATCACAGGAAGAGATAGGGAGTAAAGCAGAGACAAAAGGTTTTGGGGCAAGAAAATGGGGCTCAGCCAGAAGAAATGTGCCAGGGCAAATAGGGAGCTATGGTACAGAAAAGAGGGAGAAATTGAACTACTGAGAGAATAAAAAATGTCAGGTTTTGCAGGCAGTCCTGGAAACAGAGGAAGGTAAGAGGGCAGTGGAAGCATAACAGTGAGAAGAAAAAGAAAAGTACCTGTTGTGACACGAACTCAGCGTAGGAGCGCACGACCACCCCTCTCAGCAGAAAGCTGTGCTGCAAAGGCATCGAGTGCTTGCATTAATTAAGGGGTACAAACGCTGGAATGCATGTTACAGCTTCCTTTCTTTTTCCCTTCCTAAGGTACCATAACTTCTTGGGTGGTGATTTTTATACTGCCAATAAACAGTGCTTTGAATCCTCTTCTCTACACTTTGACTACGCGACCTTTCAAAGAAATGATCCATCAGGTTTGGTATAATTACAAACAAAGAAGATCCAAAAGAGATAAAAGCAGTCGGAAAACATACGGTCCATCATTCATTTGGGTAGAGATGTGGCCAATGCACGAAATTTCGTCGAAGGTAACGAAACCTGTGCTTTGTACAGACTCCTCTGATGCTTCGATGACTACACAGTCAACAAGACTAAATTCATACACGTAATTACATTTTGAACCTTCACGGTGACATCTGCACTGTTAGCTTCACATCTGTGGGCTTACTGCTTTACAGCAAGGAGGAAAAATGGGGGAGGTATGACACCTGGGCTCACGTTGAACCGAAGCAGGAAAAAGAGGGAGCAGTGTGTCTGTCTCTGGGTAAAAGCGACACAACAATAATTTTACCATCTCGCAATGGTACCTGACATTTTGACAACTCGTGCTAGATCAAAATGAGAAGTCAGTTGTTTGGGATTTTTCCTCCCAGAAACCAGGCGTGTGGAAAAAAAAACACGAATTGTCATTTAAAACATCTCATCCTGAAAGCAGAATGTTTCAAAAATCACCTATCTTTGGCGGGGGGGGAGTTATTTTCATTAAACTTTTTTTTTTTAAAATTCCCCATTTCAACAGTTGAATTTTTTTTAAGAGTTAATTGGTTTCCTCATTAAGAATTCTTTTTTTCTCCTCAAAGTTTCTGACTGGCTCTGTTTAGGCTGCATCAAGTCCTAAAAGCTTTAGGGAGAAATAGCTCTAAGAAAAATATTTAAATTTCATAATTAGACCAGTTTACTTGTCAGAGCCAAACAGTGAAAACTTCATTCCTTTTAAAAATTTACCAACTATTTCATTCATGTAAAGAATTTTCTGAAATTGTAATGATTGTTCTAATTCAGGCAAAACCAGAACTGTGGGGAAGATGCCAAAAAAAAAAAAAGAAAAAAGTTTTTTTTCGTCAACTGAGCGTCCCCCAGCTATAGCTGGTGGAAGTTTCCTCCTTCAGAAGAGCCTCCTTTCCTGGAAAGACTGGACTGAATATCCCACCATCTTGATGCTGCTCGTTTCCTCTCTGTGTCTTAATGAGCTACTGTAAGTAGCTCCCCACAGCTTGCAGACTTCAACAACTTTCAGTCTGAAGATGTCTATCTCTGTATGTGGAACAATAGAAGACTATCAGTCTTAGTAAGTGCCACGACATCGACATTTTAACCACCTTGTGCATCTGATTGGATGCATTGTGGTTAAAATAATTTAAGAACCACAGCCATTCAGCACTTTTTGGAGCATTATTTTTACTTCCCAGTGTTACAAAGGTAAACATCAAATTACCCATCTGAAACAATCCTCTAGAGGCAGTTCCTTTGCATACACTTACTGAAGATAATCTTTTCCATTATGAATTACAACTTTCCTCCTTCTTTCAGTATCATATTCACAGTCCGATGGCCTAGAAGCCCACAAAGGTAAAAGAAATGCTTCTTCTGCATTGATGATTTGAAGCGTTTTAAAATAAAGTTAAAAGACATTTCCAACGTTTGCACTTAACTTCTTAACAGCGTAAGAAGTAGAATTAAAAAAAGTGTGACTTGCACTTTAACTGTTTACAGAACTTTGGATTGCCTTGAAGATTGTTAAGCATCTTGTTTCCACTACTGTATGTTTTATCGAAATAAAAGATTATCTGCTGAACAAGACGACTTCTTTTCCGAGTTGCTTAGCAACATTTTGGTTTGTGGGGTTAAAAACAGCTAAGTGAAATCCTGCCACATGGATTGCCTTTAACTGGGGCAAGTGGAACTCAATTTAATAGAACTTGTGCACTCTGAGGGGCCAAGCCTTCTCAATGACCGTAACGGTTTTTCATGAGGTATGCAAGTATGTCTGTCCTTACCATTACTTCTGATTTTCACTTAACCTGATTATGGATATATTCAATGTCATCTTTGTTTCTATAAGTAACACAAGAATATTCATTATTTCAGAATTTTTTGTAATATCTTTATTGTTTTGATAAGAAAACTACAGTTTGTCTTTTAAAAAGTCCTCCTACCAGTAAAAATAAGGCTGACTAATAAATCATGGTAAAGCCACGCTCTCCTGCAGCCTGCCATTACGTTTCAGCATTACTTTTTTCACAGTGCTCTGGTGCAGGTACAGGAGTTTCAGTACAGCTGATTATTACAGATTAGCGATCTTTCAGACCAAAAGGTTCTGTTAACGGTAAGCTCTAAACTGACTAACTAGTAACTGCTTAAGGCAGAGATAAAAAGTAGGACCAAATACTGAAAAAGCTCTAGTGCTTCCTGAGAGACAGGAGAACGCATTTCACAGACTCTTTTCTAACCGATGGAAGCTTTTACTTACAGTTCAAAATAATCCCTCCTATCAGTAAACAATGCTGTTAAACTTCTACCATGCAGAGATATATGGTCCATCATAAGGCACTTCATTACAGCAAAAGATAGTGTAAAATCGTTGGCAGTAATCAAACACCTTGCAAAAAAATCTGCAGTTTTATAGAAATATATTGCAATATTGCTAAAAATAGTAAGGTTTGAGATACAGGGCTTATCAAAAGCTCATAAATAAGCCACGACTTGCCATATTATCCCATCCTTAATATGAAGAAAAAGTGTGCATAGAGAAAGCCTGAAGTTAGCTCAATAAGTTTCTCTGGAGTTGGCAGGGTTTCCGCTGGCAACAGCTCTTAAAAAGGAGGGCTGACAATACCTCCTCGCAGGACACCACTTCCCCACCAGTGATGAGTTCTGAACGTACCACATATACTAACTTTGCATCCACCACATTAGCCAAAAAAAAAAGAGAGAGCATTTCATGTATGAGATCGCTTGAGCTGCAAGGGTAGAGTCTAAAAGTCAGAACTGATTCTGGAAGAGTCTAAAAGTCAGAACTGATACACAAAGTTATTTTACTCGGTGACTTACATACAACATCCATGCGAGTCATCAAGTATTTCTGAAAGAACTCCAGGCTCGCCCGGAGCTGCTGAGGGGAAACAAAAATCCACGTGAACTACTTAAAAAAGGTCGCTTAAAAAAAAAAAAAAACCAAACCAAACAAA